TCTGGGCTGAGGTGGCTATTACTGGACAAAGCACTGGTGGAAAACGCAGTTTTTTTTTGTTGTTTTTTGTTTTGTTTTGTGTGTGTGTGTCTATAATTGTGTGTGGTAAGCACCTCAAACCATACTTTCAGGTAGGATCCTTTTGGTTTCAGCTTCTATTGCTTTGTGCCTGATTTTCTCCATATTTTCCCAATATGAAATTTTTGAGAGAAAATATCTAATTGTTCGAACTCAATTTTTCATATCAGACAATGGATGTTACTTCACTGGGAAGGTATGGGATGGTGCCCTCCTTGTCCATCTGTGGACGTGAGAGGAGGAGGTGGGACACAGGCCCAAATAGGGTTGCTCCTTCAAATCAGAGGTATGGAAGGGCCTCTTCATCTTGAAGGGGCTCTGAACTGGCAGGGGCCACCACCACCAACTGGCCAAAATTACTATGTGCACCCAACCCACATTTCTCTGTATGAAGCACCGATATGCTGTGCTTAACTAAAAGAAAAATCCTACTTCTTTCTCTCTAGACAGAAGCTGGGAGAATGGGGGTCCATCTAAGAACTGATTCAAGCTCTTATAAATGGTAAATTCACAGTTTGAGAAGGTTATTTTGTGTTTTTAAAGAGTTACATGGGTCAGTAGATTGTCATTGGCTGAACATAAGAATGCGAAGTACAAGCCCGAACTCTGCAAAGAGATGCCCTTGTAAACTGTGGAGAAGTTAGAAGAGTTCTTATGGTTTTAGTCTGCATGCATGTAAGCCTTGTGCATGCCTGCTAGGGCTATTGGAGGTCCAGATAGAGTCTGCAGCTTGTCTGGTTTAATTTACTTTGTGCTGCTGCTGAGAATGAAGTGGATAGAATGGCCATCTGGAAAAGAAAATGGTAGGTTTTTTAAAGTGACTTCTGCCTGCTTGGGTCTGCTAAAGGAAATACGGTGAGGGCTCCGTGTGTTTTAAGCACTAATATGGTTAAGACTCTTGGATTTGGAGTCTAGCCCAGAAGCCGCATATGGCTTACAGGTTTTCTTTGGTCTGCACGCCATTATCCCTTGGTGGGTCCTGTTGCCTTAATTATCATCTGAAAAATCAGGCGATTTCATATCCCCCAAATGTCACATTTCTAGCTTCGTTTGGAAATTCTAGCCTTTCAAGACTTCTGGTCTTTTTTTTTGACCGGTAAGGGGATTGTAACCCTTGGCTTGG